CCCCCCCCCCCCTCAATTTCATAGATGTATTCAATGCTTTATTGCTGATAATTAAAATCTTTATGTAGCCACACTCATTTAAATTTTCCTAGTGCTCAGTAAATTTTAGTATGCTGCTCAGTAAATTTTAGTATGCTGTAAAACTGGTCTTGAATATTTTGAAACGTCTCTTCAAATGCACTAATTAGCAACTGTCATTTATTGTAGGTGCTACAAAATATATTAGAAACAGAAAATGAATATGCTAAGGAGCTACAAACAATGCTCTCCAACTACCTGCGACCACTGCAAGCCAGTGAAAAGTATGTGAGTTTTTGTTTTTTAAATTAATGCTGTGAGCTCTTGTGTATTGGGGAGGGTTTTCCATGGTCCAATTTTCAATGTCAGTGTGTATTTTCTTGTGTGGACTGTGAGACTTGAGAGGCAAAGTTTGCTTTTATTCAGTTTGCCTGATGACTCAAACAGTCTGCTCCTGGATCCAAGAACCAATAAGCCTTTTTTAATAAGGTGGTAGGTGTTATTAAAGCACAATTAATCAATAACTGCAAATTGAAACACCTTTCCTTTACTTTGGCTCCAGGTTAAACTCTACAAATACTTCATACTTAATGGGAAACCTGGAAGAAATCAGTTCTTTCCAGCAAATGCTTGTACAGTCTTTAGAAGAATGCACCAAGTAAGTACTGTAAAATTCTAAGAAGCAAATATTTTTCATGTCCTGTATGTAGTTTGACATAATTTTTGTTCCTTTCACTTTAAGGCTAGTTGGTACTACAGCAGTACAGTAATAGGTGCTTGGATGATGCATTGATTGCTTGCACAGATAGATATTTGCCCTAGGATGCAATTGCTGAGGTAGGAATTTTGGTGTAGTTTGAAAACAGTTTGAATTTCCATGATGGAATTGCAGAGCAGTGGGGAAGTGGTAGAGGAAGTGGGGTTGGGGGTTTTGGAGGTGTGAATTTTAAGGTTTTTTTTTTTTCTTAAAGTAAGAAAAGGAATGAAGGGAGCTTACAATGTAGTGGAACATGTCCCTGTGAAGGAGAGGGTAAGTGCATGAGAGTTCTTGTGCTTTGTATTCCACCCTCCTGAACAACAGTAGTCAAGAAGTGCTGGGAGGGGTGTTCAGGACAGGCAGAGAAAATGATCTGAATTTTGAAAAAGAAAAGCCTCAATGCCTGTCCTGTACCACTTAGGAAGTATTAAGCACAGAAAGAACAGGGTGAAGACACCTGTCCTGCTTCCACAAGTTAGGCTGAAGTGGTGGCTGGGTATTTTTCAGCTTGTGTTTCAGCACTTGGACTTGTTAGGAGGAAGGTGACCATATCACATTTGAATTGTCCTAACAACTTTCTGGTGTTGAAACTCCACTGGAAGTGTAGCTGCTGTTCCTAACCTCAGCTGTGTCCTTTTTCTTGCCAGTGTTCTGGTTTTGTTTGACCACATGGTGAGCTAAGGCAACTTGCTAATCCAAATTTGCTTGTTTTTTGCCAGGTCAGTAACTTGAATCGCTGCTGAGGGCTTAGGCAAGTTTCAGGCAGCTGGGAGTACTTGGCTGTGAGAAGGAATTGAATGTCTTGGAGGAGAAAATACCTCTCTTGGCAGCAGTGCTCTTTAGATCAGCTCCATGTCTTATTTTGACCTCTGCCTCTGAGCTGCTCTGTGTGAAGCAGCAGCTTTGTCATGACAAGGTGGAAGCTGTGCCTGCAGGAGGCAGTGACAGTTGTCTGGGTCTGTTGCTGACTTGGGATCCCACATCCACCTGGGTTCTCTCTCTCTCTTCTGCCTCCAGACAAGTTGGACAGGAGGATGGTGTAGTTCTGCTGGTTGTTCAGCAGTGGAATGGGAACATTCTTGAAATGGCCTTTCTTCCACTCTGTGTTTGAGAAGGAAAGAAAGATTCTCTCTGGCAAGTTAGACTTGATCAGTTAAGTGTGTCAATCCCTGAGATTAACTGTTTGTCCACACACTTACAGGTTTCCTTTGCTTGTCACTGTGCTTTATCTCATTCTGCTGTTACCATGATTTTGTTTCTGTGAGACAGAAGTCAGGGAGATGAGTTACCCTGCATGAAGAGTCTCATCTTTTAAAACTTTTGATTAAGGTGGTCTTAAAAACAAGAGTGGGTGAGCATGTGCCTTTAAACAAATAGTGATGCAAGCTTTGTTTTGACTTGGTATGTAGGTTAATGTGATGTGGTAATGTAGCTTCAGGCTCAGCAAGCTTATTTAGAGCTCCTTCCTTGATTTAAACTCTATTAGAGCACCTTCTCATCATGTCCTTTGTCTTCTTCCTGCTCAGTGAAATGTTGCTGTGTAATAAATCAGGAACATAATGGATGCCAGTGGGTGGGCAGAGGAAGTGATGCCCCAGGGCTACTGAAGGGTTACTGCAAATATTTTGTGTAACTTCCATTTTATAAATAGGCTCTTCATGCCAAGATGCATTTTCAGTTTAATTTTCATCATAGCATATTGACTTGAGCATCCAGCTTCCTCCTGTTTTGAGTCTAATCCATCAGAATCCCCATCATGTAGGAGAATGCTTGCCCTGCTGCCTTGGTTTTTGTCATTTTGCCATGTTTTTTTGGCTGTTGAACCTGTTCTGTAAACTCAGAGTAGCTCCTGGGCTGAAAATACATTTATCATTTTATTTTCTTTTTGGCAGAGAGCTTATAGCTCCATCATCCAGACACTTCCCATTGCAGCATCCAGTGGGGTGTTTGTTCTACCCTGACATGTCAGGATGACCAAATGCTGACACCCTGCCAGCTGTAGTGCTGCCAGTCCACCTTGCTTGACAAATTTCTCTTCTTGGCCATGAGAGTTGAATGTTTTTTTTGAATTCCACCCCTGTCTTGAGTCAGTTTGTCAGTTGAGTTTTCTATTAACAAATCCTGGCCTGTGCTTCAGTGGCAGAAACTTCCTGGTGTTTTTCTCCTTCTTGCCTGCACCCCTTTGGCTTATTTAATCCTCACATTAAATGTTGGGCTGTGTGTTTTTTCAGAACACCTAGTGCTGTAGTGGATTTGTGTGTTTCAGGAGATGTGATTGTTTGGATGTGGTTTGGTTTTAGTTCTTTGTCACCCTCCCACCCTTCCCCCAGCCTTGAAGGACTCCTGGTGCATTGCTGAAGGTTTGTCCTCTTTGAACTTGCCCAGGTTGGGCTCTATTTGTGTATCACTGGTTCTCCTCTGAGCTGCTCCATCTGTCTGCTTCAAAAAGTGCTTTTCTTTGGTCAGCTTCAAGTGCACTTGGTTGGTTACTGCTCTTTTTCCATCCCTCAAAACAAGGCAGAGAGACTCTGCCAGTGTCTTCACTTGCAAAAGGGCAGATCTGACAGAACAGAGGGAGGGTGCTCTGTGCTGCCTCTGGAAGGCAGCAAGTGGTCCAGTGCTCTAGGTCTCTTTCCAGATTTGTAATAATTATGTTAATAATGTTCTTCAGTGGCTCACACAGCAGAGGAGTGAACAGAGTCACTCTCTGTCAGGTCATCTCTGGGCTGGTAGAAGTGATCTCTCTTGGAAGCATTGCTCTTTGGCTATTTTTTGTAGCAAAAGATGGAACAGATGTCTCCTGCTCAAAAAAAACAAAGTATTTTTCCATTCACCTGGGAGTAGAAACTGTCAGTCTAAGGCTGTACTTCTGGTGAGGGGGGAGGACACAACACAGGCTGGCTGAGGACACCAGAACTCCATGAACTCCTTGGGTATAATCTCCTCTGTAGCCAGTTAAAGGCAATGTCTGTCTTTTTAGGTATTATCACAGATTTACCTCTCTGCCCCACAACAGCCATAGCTGGGTTTTGCCCCCTCTTTCCTTTATCTCCATGCAAGCTGCAGTAACTGTGGTGTTTGTCTTGTTCTCTCTTTCAGTTCAAGCAGATACTCCTTGTTCTGGGATGATCCTGGAGTGGAATGGGAATTTGGGGGGGGAAAACAAGTGGAGCCAGGGGAGGAGGCTGAAGGGGAGGCTAAAATAACATCAGGCTGGGGGAGACAAACACCCAGTTCCCCAGCACTGCAGCATGAGAAGGAAATTTAAGCATTTTGAGCCATGGTTTATTGTGGCCTCTTACTGTTTAATACTGAGTTACATGTCTTGAGTATGTCTGTAGAGTTAGAGACTTTTCCTGCATCTGTTACTCCAAGAATGTATTATTAGCTCACACTTAGATTCATTAAGGAGCATTTCCAGCTGCTGGGCTGGACATGCTGCTTGGCAGGCTGTAAGAATAACATTCCCTCAGTATAAATGAGTTTTCAAATGAGCATATTCCCCCCTCCCCCTTTTTTTTTTTAAGACTCTTACACTTAATTGTGACTTCATATTAGGTAGGTCTTCCCACACCATACAAAGGGACTGAGCAGCTTAGGAGGAGGTAGACGCTTTGTTTTGAAATTTGGGGAGTGTTTCTAGCCCTGAACTCTGAATTTTAACTGCTATGAGTAAACCTAAAGGAGTGGGACCAGATGACTTTGGAGCAGGGTGGGAATATCCCTTGCCTGGAGGGGAACCTAACCTGGAAAGCTGAATGGTTTCTTTTCTACAGAAGTTCACTCAAGCATCCCTAAATTTTCAGAGTCAATACACTAACTATTGAGGTTTAGAAACTTCATGTACCTGTTTAGGACAATTAACAGAAAACCTTAATTTTTTTTTTCCTTTTTTGAAAGACTAATATTCTTCCAGAGAGAATTGCTGAACTAAAGTTAGCATGAAAGCCTTTGGCAGTGCTAATGCTGTGTCTGTTGAGTACTTAGTGAGGACTCCTCTAGCTCTAGAGCAGTGTGAAATTCAGGTTTTAAGAGTAGTTAAATAGATAACAAGAAAAAAATCACTGTTGATCTCTCATCTTGCAGAGCAGCAAAGACTTGGCGTATTTGTTAGGCAATGAAATCTTTATGGAAAGAAAGGAAACATTTGAAGAGACTGAAACATTTTGTCTTGCATGAGTTGTGCAGTGGGTTGGGACAAGGTGTCAGGGACAAGCCTCTGGTCTGGGACTGATGAAGGTGATCTTGGACACTAAGCTTTCAGGTTGGGAGCTAGAATCAGCTGTTGG